ATATATAATATAATACAATATATTATAACATAATATAATATAATATAATATAATAATAATAATAATAATAATAATAATAATAATAATAATAATAATAATGATAATAATAATAATAATAATAATAATAATAATAATAATAATAGATATGGGGCGAAAGACTTAGGCCGCCCTTTTAACTAATTAAACAATGTTTATTTCTTAATTAAAGATATCCCTTCCCTCCTATATATTAATACAGAACGCGCTGAGCCTACGTGGCTGTTTCTGGTGCTTCGGAATCCTATGTGGCAAAATTACATGATTCGTTATTAGGCTTGGGTAAATTTTAATTTAATTCCAAACCAAAAATAATTAGGTTCGGATTACCATAAATATGTTGATTATTTATGGTCATGTTACATGTATTAATTGTATTTTAATATCATTACTTATTATAACTATTGAATTGTAAATATATTTTAAAAGTTAATAACTTTTGTATTTTTTATCAGTTTTACATATGTAATATATCAAAATAATCTTCTTTTGATGATCTTCGATTTAACATCCATATTGTATGTATAAAAAAAACTATATTTATCTTTATAACAATAATGAAATTATTGTTAATATTAATTAGAAAAATAAAATTATTTATTAACTAATATATTTATATTTCAAGTAGTTATATGATATAAGTTATAAAAACTAATATAATATAACACATGTAAGTCATAAGTAACACATATCATTCTAAAATATTTAGTAATATATTTTTTTTTAAAAAAAAAGTAATCTAAATTTAATATAGTTTTCTCATTAATTTTAAAATTTAAGAATAATTTTTCAACAAGCACCTGTGTAATACACGGATGTTGTACTAGTGACTTATAATTTATGAAAATAACTTTCAAAATTAGTTTGTCAGAATCTTTCTTTATTATATATTAATACAGAACGCGCTGAGCCTACGTGGCTGCTTCTGGTGCTTCGGAATCCTATGTGGCAAAATTACATACTTCGTTATTAGGCTTGGGTAAATTTTAATTTAATTCGAAGCCAAAAATAATTAGGTTCGGATTAACATAAATATGTTGATTATTTATGGTCATGATACATGTATTAATTGTATTTTAATATCATTCCTTATTATAACTATTGAATTGTATATATATTTTAAAAGTTAATAACTTTTGTCTTTTTTATCAGTTTTACATATGTAATATATCAAAATAATCTTCTTTTGATGAGCTTCGATTTAACATTCATATTGTATGTATAAAAAAAATTATATTTATCTTCATAACAATAATAAAATTATTGTTAATATTAATTAGAAAAATAAAATTATTTATTAACTAATATATTTATAATTCAAGTAGTTATATGATATAAGTTATAAAAACTAATATAATATAACGCATGTAAGTCATAAGTAACACATATCATTCTAAAATATTTAGTAATATATATATATATATATATATAT